CAATAACTTGCTGGGTGTGACTGTAAGCAGATGGGGGAGCAAGGAAGCCAAAACCCATGTGCTCTGCCTGTTCTACACCAACAACAACCTAGGTGGTTCCCCAGGAGGGGACATGGCTTGTTTTTAATGAGTAACTCCCTCTTCTGTATCTCTCCTTAGAGTTTGGGTTATCCTGCTAAATATTCACTGCAGTGTGCTCTTTACAACTTGCTGGGTGTGACTGTAAGCAGATGGGGGAGCAAGGAAGCCAAAACCCATGTGCTCTGCCTGTTCTACACCAACAACAACCTAGGTGGTTCCCCAGGAGGGGACATGGCTTGTTTTTAATGAGTAACTCCCTCTTCTGTATCTCTCCTTAGAGTTTGGGTTATCCTGCTAAATATTCACTGCAGTGTGCTCTTTACTTTTATACAGCTTTGAGATCTTTGCTGGGAAGCTTCTCCCCCCCTAAATTATTCAGAAGTTTTTTATTTTTAGTGGCATAAGGTTGTGCATAGTATTTCAATACTTTAGACGTTTTTCTTCATTTGATTTTATTAAGAGTGCATGCCCCTCCATGAAACCCATTTTTATGCTGTGCAGGGATTTTGAGTGGGGAATAATTAGCTACTTGTGTGTTCTAAAAGTTTATTTTTTAGGAAGAAGACTGTGTAAAGCTTGCTAAAAATGTCTTTGGGCAGGGAAGGTGTCTGCTACACTAAGCACATGTCCAATTGAAGTAAACAGGGCTGTTATTATGGAGAGGATAGAAATAGCTCTGAATGTAGCATGCTTTCTGCATGCCATCTTGAGCTGGGATTCCTGCATGCTGTTCTTTTCCCCAAGGGTGCTACAGAGATGCCACTATTTTGTGCGGCACAAAATTCATCTTTATTTACGGTCTTTTCCACTTTACCAATCACTGTGAAGTTAACCCCCCCCCCAAAAAAAAGGAAGAGGAGACCTAAATAGAAGCAAAGTCCACTAGCCCCAAAGATCCTAATCTTGAAATCTGGAGAAAGGGTGGGACATTAATAAAGCCGATTAAGCACAGAAGTAATTATAATTAGACTAGTTATGAGGTCTGTGCTGCTATTTTTACATAATCTGCTTGGAGATGTTTTCAGACAAGGCACCTCTCTTAAACCACTCTGGGAAAGAGAATTTTGCCCTTTAAATTAGTTTGAATTTTGGGTAGTGCTGTGAAAAGAGAACTTTGAAATGGAACATTGGAAGTGTAAGCCTTCTTTCTCATTTGGTAAATCATTTGGTAGCAGGAAGTTTGAAAGCATCTTATGCTGGATCTGGGAGCAAGGAGGCTACTCTTTTCTCTTCCTGAGCATAATGAAGGGCCAGTTTCATATAAAGGTCACTTGCTTGCGCTAGAGGATGTGCTGTGGGGTTAGTAATATCCCATGTCGTGATGTCAGTCATGATAAAACAGTTGATGGGGAGATATCAATTGTAATGGCTTTGGGAAGGGACTATCTCTTGCTTATTTGTGTGCAGCACCTAGCACAATGAGACTCCTGTTTGAGGTCTCTTGGTACTACCATAAAATAAATAATAATATTTTTAAATAATAAGGAGGTGAGAAGATGTAGGAAAAGAAGGATCAAAGAGCCTATTTAGGGATCTAGCCTAGTACTAACTCTCACCATTGCGCTGAATCATCAGTCGTGTTCCAGCTGCAAATATGTGTGGTTTCTTCAAGAGGGTGGACATGCCATTGCGTGATACATTTCAAACCAAGCTGCACCAGTCATATAAGAATGTGCCGTAAAGAACCTTCCGGTGCTGTGTGAAAGGAGGTATAGACAGGCTGCAACCTAACAGTTCTTCTGCAGCTCTGATTTCTGCTTCAGCAGTTTACCTCGGTATGCTGACACTCGAGTTTGCCAATACAGCTCCATGTGCATTGTGCAGTGAGTGTGATTCAGGGGTATCCCTGGTATTCTTGGCATCTGAAATCAACAGAACTCTGTTGTGGGGTAGACATTAAAGGGCAAATTTTGCTGGGTGGTTGACTATGCCACCCTCCTCCCCCTCCCCCCCGTTTATGGAAGCTTACTCATAGTCATGTAGCCTTTTGTCCCCATCCCAAATCGGTGATCTGAGAGCAGGGGCAAAATGGGGAAAGAGGGACTCCTGAGTGAGGTGATATGGTGTGGTGGGAAACTCAGAAACCAAATGTGGTTTCAGCGCCACCAAGGAGTGTCTTTGCTAGGAGGATAGGGAAGAGGAGGAGGGACTCGGTGTCTATCCCACTTCTCACTGGGGCCATCCAGCAGTTATAGGATCATGGCTCAAACCATCTTCTAGTGAGAAGCTCCCAACAGCACAGAAAGCCACCACAGCGGGCTGTTGTGCATCTCTGCAGAGGACCCAGCAGTGAATGAGGATGGAGGACAGTGTCACCCTCATCCTTGGAAAGTGAGGTGGGGAGGCACATAGAGGCGGACAGTACGTATGGGAGAAGTTTGCACTGTGGCTTCCCAAGCTGCATCTGGTCTATGGATAGAAGCTGGCTCTTGGACTACAAAGCCAGCCACTTCCACCAATGCTAACTTTGCAAGTACAGTCAGTCCCCGGGTTACATGGATCCGACTTACATCGGATCCCTACTTACAAACGGGGTGAGGCAACCCCGCACTAGCTGCTTTTCCCCCTAGCAGACCAGGGAGACGCGAAGCTAGCGCCCTCCCCTCCCCCACCCCCGCAGCAGACCAGGGAGACGTGGAGCGGCTTTTCTCAGCAGACACCTCAGCTTGAGAATAAAGGACTGTGGGAAGTGAGGTGTGGGAGAATAAAACTGAGCTCTGGAGAAATGTTTGGCTAGAGTTTCCCCTACAATATGTACCAGTTCCGACTTACATACAAATTCAACTTAAGAACAAACCTTCAGTCCCTATCTTGTACGTAACCCGGGGACTGCCTGTACTCTTTTAAAGCTATGTTATTTACATAGAGGAGAGGCACTTGGGAAGTGTTGTTAAATGAAGTCTGGGAGCTACAGGAGTTGGACTGCATCATACTAACAATGGGGGAGATGCAGAGATGGGTGTCAGTGGGTGAACTTGGTAGCCAGTTGCCTTTGGGGACCTGGATTCTCACCTAGAGTAGAGGTCAAGAGTGATGATGAGGACTCTGCAATGAATTGCATTGCAAAATTAGCGCATAGTTTTTCATGATTGGAAGTCCCAGATGAGCAGAGGTTCAGCTCTGGAATAACTGGGAGTGAAGCAGGACAGGAATGAGGTGCAGAAGGGTAACCTCAGGACTGGAACAGAATGGGAGGCTGAAGGTCAGGAACAAGGTACATCGCTGGAACTGTGGCTTGAGACCCCAGGACTGAAACATTGCTGCAGATTGTGTTAAGGTATGCTGGCAGAGCTCTGGGAGTGGTGGGAGCTCAGAATTGAGGTCCACTGTCAGATCTGGCAGTAGTTAGCATGTCATTTGCCTGAGCATTGCCTGGCTCTAGCCACTTATATCTTGGCTTTCACAAAGAGAAAAACATCTCCCTTCTGCCTCCCCTGCCCCCCCCCCCCATATTACCCCAGGTGTCTGTCTGCATGTGGCTGTGTGAATGCCAGGCTCTATTAGCTAATTCTTTCCCCTCCGTCTGCCCACTTAGACAATTCCTCGTTAATACTGTATAAATGAACCCATGCCTAGGGAGCATAAATCAGGATGGATGAAAATTCCCTGCAGTCAATTTTTCCTTTGCCTCTTCAGTAACATAAGGAAGTGTTCACTTAATTATAGGCATCAGGGGTTGAAATAACTACATGAAGACCTCGAAGGGAAGCTCCAGGCGATAGGCTACAGATCAGAGCACATAAAAGTTTCCCCTCTGCTCAGAGTGGGAATCAGCTCTCCAGGATTGTGGGTAAAATAAGCCAACCGTAGCAAAAAAGAAGGCTAGACTGCAGAGTACAGTGCAAGGGGCTAAAGGGCAAAGGTGCACTGAGTCCTGCTGCTGGTCACCGGGTGCATTAGCTGCCAGTTCTCATTGGTTATTTAAATACGTGATCCCAAAAGAATGGAGCCAGACTATTTGTCACCCACACGAGTGCAGCCTGGGCAGAGTCACAACGGAGGCAAAGCAAACACACTCAGCCATTTGTTTGTAGGGGCAGAGATGCTGGCAGGGCAGTTGTGCCCTGTTTAGTGAGATTCAAACCCGCATTGTTCATGCCCCTGCATAAATCCAGTTGTTGGCAGGATTCAGGCATAGACTCCTTGTCTGGTGGGGAGAGAGATGGGTGTGTCTGAAAGCCATGGTAGAGCTCTTCCTCAACATGACGATTACAACCAAGCCTGGTTACTATACTATCTTCCTTTGCTCCTATCAAATTTTTAGTGTAGGTTGGATCTGACTGTTTTAACTGACGTTCCTAAGTTACGCTGAACCCTTGAACATCTCCAGAGGTTTTGTCTAACTAAGGAATATGGATGAGGGCCTGACTCCTGAATAAAAGACGGTCTGAAACAGTACAACATTTAATAGAAGGAAGTCCTGGAAGAACCTTTGCGTGCATGAGTTGGATTTGAGTTTCACCACTGTGTTCAAGCTTAGTTGTGGCAAATCAGGCTAAACTACTAATTTTGGCTTAGTGTGCTGCTGGGGCCACTAGCATAGTTTGGCTAGTGTGTTCCTTAGAAACCTGTTTAT